GCTTCTCTCCGGGAGACCGGCCGGGGCGCGGCCTTGGGCTGAGTTCGCTCTGCTCGGGTGCCGGGTGGCCCGAGAAGGTCCTCCCGCGCTTTGGAAAGTGGGGTGTAGTTTGCTCCCGGGGCACTTCTGCACACCCCCTCCGGGAGGGCTGAGGTCCAGGTGGTCCGTTTCAGCCTTCGGTTCTCTTGCGGGTGTGCAGAGCCCTTCGGCGAGGATCGGGGCCCGCCGGGGTGAGGGCGCTTCGTGGTGTGGCAGCCTTCACTGGCAGAACTGGTGTTTTCAGGCCCACCTTTCTAATTGTGATCACCTCCGGGAGGCCCGGGCTCACCTGGCTTCCTGTGACTTCTAAGTTAGCACTTCCTGAAGCTTTGTCTTGTAATCTGTTTAGATGCAACTATGTTCTCCCTCTTCGGTTAAAATTCCCCTTTTACTTAGGCTAAAGGAGGGTATTGCAGTGTCCCAGTTAAAGCCTATCTGCAGTCTTCTAATAGCTCTCAGGTAACTGGAGTTCTGAATAGAGTTTCTTCTTGCCTTGGAAGAGGTGCTTTGGGTTGCTTTTCTTCTTTTGCAAGCAAACCAGACAGGGGGCAGGGAAAGGTCAGGATTGTTGTAGAGTGTGATTACCATTCACCATCTGCTTATTAACAATCTTTTCAGATGAAGTTGGGGCTCTGGTTTTCGACATTGGCTCGTATACAGTGAGAGCAGGCTATGCAGGCGAGGACTGTCCAAAGGTGAGAATTTGTGTGACTCAGTGGAAACGCAACATGAATTTATGCCTTAGGTATTGTTTGTTAGTGTAAGTTTTCAGAATACGCTGGGTTTTGTTCTGACTATTGTATAAAGAAAGATCAGAAACTGTGAGGGGAAAAAAAACCACTGATAAAATTAGTGTTATAAAAAAAAAAAACACATTAATAATTCTCATATACTGCTTACCTTTTGCCTTACAGGTTGATTTTCCAACAGCCATTGGTGTGGTGCTAGAAAGGGACAATGGCAGCACTCTGATGGAGATAGATGGTGACAAAGGCAAACAAGGGGGCCCGACTTACTACATAGACACAAATGCCCTGAGAGTTCCAAGGGAAAATATGGAGGCCATTTCACCTTTAAAAAATGGAATGAGTATGGTGCTCTGTCTTTTTCTACCTGTTTTTAAAATAGGTTTACTAGGCTGCAAAAAGTTCATAGCTTTCATGTAAACAGATGCTATGTATGGCAACAGAAACCATAAGAATGATACCCGATTTACAAATTGCATGAAATATAGTTGGTTTACAGTGTTAGTGGACTTTAAGCATAATTCTTGAAATGTTGTGATCATGATGCTTACAGAGGAAGAGAACTCTGCAGAGCTATTAAGGGGGGTGTATGTCTGCTGAGGATAGCTTTTGACTAAAAGGCTCTCCGCAAAAAAAAAAAAAAAGGCATTGGAAAACCTTTATGAAATGGAACAAAACTTGAAGTAACTGCTCTTCTTGCTTCAATGTTGTTACAGTTGAAGACTGGGATAGTTTCCAGGCAATTTTGGATCACACTTACAAGATGCATATTAAATCTGAAGCAAGTTTGCATCCTGTCCTTATGTCCGAAGCACCAGTGAGTAAAAGCAGATTTGCATTTTGAAAAGTCTTAACTGTATCTTCTTGCTGACTCTACAAATGTTAGTCTGGGGCAAGTCTGACATTGGCTTGTAGTTTACAAGTGTTAAAACTTCACTACAGAAATAACAATTTTAAAATACTTTGCCAGGTTCTGGAAAGTAATCTGTTAAAAGAAACATGTCTAAAAAAGAAAACAATTGGAAATAGTTTGTATGAGTTGTATTAGAAAGTATATATAATGTGCTATTGTTGTTCACTTATCAAAATGAAGTCCAAACTAAAGAAAAAAAATATCACTTTACTGCCCAAAATAAAAGTAAAAAGATATCCAAATATCTTATTATGTATTAAGTTACAGTTAATAAAATGCCATTGAAAATCTGCTGCTTCGCTCAGCCTTACAACTAATATTACGTGACGGAGTATAATATTTATAATGGAGATGTTTTAATTTTTTCTGTCTACATTTCTATAAATGGGCCTGTAAGGTAAGGGAAGTGGGTGAATACAAATTTCTGGGAAAACATGGTCAAGGTCTCTATCATTTAATAATGCTCAGGATTTGAAGGGCGGATCTTAAAGTCAGAATACAAAAGGTAGACATGCCATACAAAAGTTATGCCTATCTTTAATAAAATCTTATGAAAAGCATTTTCTTTTTCATTATTACCTTATGTTGAATTGTAGCTTGTGGAGTATGGATGAATTTCCAATGGTTATTTCATGTTTGATAACTCAGTGGGTGTCTGAATAGAGGTTCCCGTTAGTATTTTCCTTACAGAATTTATTTTTAATGTAGTGGCTTGGAAAAAACTTTGACGTTTTCAATACTGTGTAGAATATTTGATATATTTCCTGACTTAATCATAAGTACAGTAGAACTGTAGGAAGATACCTTGGAAACAGGAAAATCTGGATTTATTTTTCTTTCAACTGGGCAAGTTATTTCATGTATCTTTCCACTTGTAAAATGGGGATGTACCTTGTTTTAGAGAGTTCTTGAGAGACTGATACTGAAAGAGCTATAGAAGCATAAAGGAAAAAAAAGTGCAGAAATGTAACAGTACAAGTGTATATCACTTTTGCCCTTGATATTTTTTTTCAGAAGTCTTTCTGTATTTTTAAGTTAATACTTCTTTAATTCTGTATGATAGATAAGCATTAATGTATTGTAGTAGAATTGGAATAAAAAAGGTTCTAAAGAAGTAAATTACTAGAAATCTGTCTCTATGGAATTTTGATATGATTTGAAACAGTGGCTATAATAATTCTAATTACTTCCTTATTATATTAGCATTCTTTTAGTGTGCTCTAATGATCCTCAAGATAAACATTTCTTGCATTTGGTCACTTATTTGTGGTTTGGCTTATTTTTTTCTTCTAGTGGAATACTAGAGCCAAGCGTGAAAAACTGACTGAATTGATGTTTGAACACTACAACATCCCTGCTTTTTTCTTGTGTAAAACTGCTGTCCTAACAGCGTATCCTTTGGAATGCTTCGCTGCTCCTCACTCCCCGGAAATTACAGTAAACTAATTCTGGGCAATTCCTAGTATAACAGCATGTCTTACTACTTTCAAATTAATTTTTCCATAAACATCTAAGGCGGAAGTAAACAAATTCTGTTTCTGAACTTTAGAGCTTTAGAGCTGTTTCTGAGCTTTAGAGTTCAATTTTGAAGTTCTCCCTATCTGACTGTTTTCCTTGAAGGCAATGTCTCTTTTTAAAATTCCACACCCCCCCCCCCCTTTTTACAACATGAGTAAGAATATTACAGACCTGAAATGGTGCTTGTCCAGACTACTAAATACAGTAATTAGAGCTTGAAGTTCCCGTAGCCTTAAGATGAATATTTGTAATTATTTTAAACTAATAACATGTTTCAGCTTCAGAGTCTAAATGAATTGGATATACTTAGAGCTTGCTGCATAGTCTTGTCTTGAAGTCTCACCTTTGTATGTCCAAAGCTCAAGTTAGTTCACAGATAGAAGTTAAATGCCATTCTCTCTATGAGGTGATGCACTTCGTAGAAAGAAGATTTGCACTGGAAGATGGCAAATCCTTTTGTAGAGCCAACGAAAAACACATCGGGGTCTTCATTCCTAGTTGTGCTCCTAATTATATGGCAATATTTTTCTCCTAAGGTGAAAATCACAATATTTTCCTTAATCATTTTGGCAGTTTTGCTAATGGGAGATCTACAGGTCTAATTTTGGATAGCGGAGCAACACACACCACTGCTATTCCAGTGCATGATGGATATGTCCTTCAGCAAGGTAAAAATTTTCATGGGTAACAGCATTGCAGTATCAAGGTTGAGTTAGCTTTCTTTCTGCGTTTACGCAGATTTAAAAACAACAAGAAAACTGTATCCACTTAAATATGGAAAAAAAAAAACCCTAATGGTGTTCACTGACAAATAGTCTGCTGGGAGAGTTTATTCATTATATCAGTGGGGGTTTTTTTGTTTCTCTCTCCTTTTTTTTTTTTTTTTTTTTTTTTTTTTTTGTCTTTTAGGTATTGTAAAATCACCACTTGCAGGAGACTTTATTACTATGCAGTGCCGGGAATTGTTTCAGGAAATGAACATAGAGATAATTCCTCCATATATGATTGCTTCAAAGGTGGGAAAGTAACTTTATTTAGCAAGTGCTTGCTTGGGGAGAGGCTTAAATGGTTAACTGATGATTGTGTTTCCTATAATCTCAGGAGGCAGTTCGTGAGGGGTCACCAGCAAATTGGAAGAGAAAAGAGAAGTTACCCCAGGTCACTAGGTCTTGGCACAACTACATGTGTAATGTAAGTAGGTCATTTCTCCCACTCTCAAACTCCCCTAGGCATCCCATAAAGAGGTTTTATTTGCAAGAGATTTTCCTCTCGAAGAACTAGAAAATCTTTAAAAAGTCAGTATCAATTCTATAAAGTCTATCAAATTGAAGACTGAAATTCCTATAACCATGTTCTTCTTAACTCCACAGTGTGTCATTCAGGACTTCCAAGCTTCTGTCCTCCAAGTATCAGATTCAACCTATGATGAACAGTACGTCACTGTGTTTTTCTTCTTGTAAAATTAATTATCAGTTGTGCATGGGGTGCTTAGCCTGTTATTGCTGTTGGCTGGGTTTATTACAGAAGAAGTTTTTAGATAAAATCTGTTTATTTCTGAAAGTAGAAATACAGTGTACATCTGGATGATAGTTTTTTATTTAATTCCAAGATGCAGGAGATTGTAATAAATATTATCAAAAAGTTTAAGCCATATCAATCACAACATTCCAGTTGAAACTTTGGTTTATAATGCTACTTAGATAACTTAACATCCTGTTCATGTTGCACTTCAATATGTTACTTTCCGATGAATGCTCTAGGGTAGCAGCACAGATGCCGACAGTTCATTATGAGTTCCCCAACGGTTATAACTGTGACTTTGGTGCTGAGCGTCTAAAAATTCCTGAGGGATTGTTTGACCCTTCTAATGTAAAGGTAAAATAATTATGATATGTAGTAATTGGAAGGCTTTAAATTACTAGATTGTTACATGGCTTCCTTTTGTATGATGTTCTTAATTTTGTGTTTTGTTTTGTTTTTTTTTTTTAATGTGCGTATTTACACTGTGTGGTTCTCTTGGGAGTACCATTTGCCTGTCTTGTTTTAGGGTTGGGCTAGCAAAGGACAAAATATAGTTCAAAATGGGTGGTGATGAGCTGAATGGGAAAATAGGATTTTTTTTTTTTTTTCCCCTCCCCTAAAAAATGCTTAGCTCCCTCTCTAGTAATATTTGTAAATTCAACTCATTCAGGGCTTCTATATGCCTTGCTCTTTTGAAGCGATGATATGTAGATTACTAATTTTAATTCTAGGGTTTATCTGGTAACACGATGTTGGGTGTGAGCCATGTTGTCACAACAAGCGTTGGAATGTGTGATATAGACATCAGGCCGGTAAGTGTTAGTCAGACATGTTTTATTTTAAGGCAAAGATATTTCTGTGCTGATATGATTTTTTGGGACTAGAACACTCTTGATGAAGAAATGGGGATTTCCTAGGTTAATGGGGAAACACATTTGGATACTTCTCTTAAGTACTACATATTTATATATAGGAACATGTAGAATTACTGTTTTGTTTTACAAAATGCTAAATCAGGATTTTTTTACTTTTAATCAGTGTTTCTATTTATATATATAAATAGCTAATGTTCAGATTTTGTGACTGGCACTGCATAATATGCATTGCATTGGCTTCAGATGAGCATTTTATGTTCATAACTTTAGAGTGTTATCTTCAGATTTTTGGCCGTTGCAGGTACAAAAAAGTTTCAAATGATTGGTTATGTCTAGAAAGTAGAGAGTAGAAGGAAGAAAAGAGGTTTTAAAGGAAAACTTTGTTTTTAAAACTATGTTCTAACTTTCTCGGGTGTCAATTTGAAAATACTCAAGTTTGGTATGGACTGCATGGGGGTGGTTTCAAAAATTGTTCCTGTTCGCTGGCATATCAGGCTGGCTGAGCAGGCCAGGCCATGCTTGTTCACCAACTGCAGCATTAGTGAGACTGAAAACTGTTGCAGTGCTGTGGGGTTTTCCTTTGTGGTTGGAACATCCATCTGTAAGGAAACCAACAGTTCGGATACAGGAAGTATCTGTAGGTGTAGGGTTCTCCACAGTAGAAATCATTTAGAATCATTAATCACATAGCTTCTGTCTTCCTTGTATAGTTTAATATTAAGCTGTCTTCAAATATTTTTCAAGTGATTAAAAAATTAATTGGATTGGGAGAGGTAATACGGTTGGCATCAACTGATGTATAATTGCTATTGATTACATATACTTGAGTGCCATTCCTCTCTATTCTGTGAAACAGTTGTTTTCAGAATGATTTCAGAGTTAATATTGTAGGTTACTTTTTCTCTTTTTAGGGCCTCTATGGCAGCGTGATTGTAGCAGGAGGAAACACTCTAATACAGAGTTTCACAGACAGATTGAACAGAGAGCTGTCTCAGAAAACTCCACCGGTAAAACAATTCTTTAAATTGCTGCATTGAATTACTTATAATTTTGCTTTTCTGCCACATAGATACACAAGCATGTATCATAGCTTTGACTTTGTTAGGAACCCAGCAGCTGAAGAGATTTCTGTGGGGTAAGAAATCTCTTCCTTCTCTAAAGAAAAGAACGAAGTCTTGAAAAGTTCTCACATGAAATTAATTTCAGCAGATATTATAACTGCTTCCTGAATATTTTACTTCTCCTTTCCTGCTTTCAGATTCTGATTCTAAGTTCTGTAATTGTCCCTAAGCAACAGTCACTATTTCCCCGATGGCCTCTCTTCTGAAGTGTTGCTGACTAACTTAAGGCACATTCGGTCATTCTGCCTGAGGTCTTGTCACTTTGTCATGGGAATTGTTGTTCCAGGATTCTACCAACAACTCAGCCTACTTGTAGATAAAAGATGGTGATTTAACATACTTGTGGGTTTTTTTAATCACTTGATGTCGAAGAAAGTATTAATACCTCACACCTGTGTTCTTGATAGCACATACAGCTTATGATATTTCTTGAATATTCATATTCAAGAAAGTGTTCTACTTGTAGCAACTCTGAAATCATGAATGTAATGAGAAACCTGAGAAAGGTAGTTACTGGCTCCTGCTTATAATAGCTGAGGAGGAACCCACTGAAATTCAAAGATTTTACTGCTACAAGGCCTTTTGAAAGCAAAAGGAATGAATGGGTCCAAAAAAGGATTAGATGAATGAAGTTCAGCAGCATTAGACATTTTAGTCCCAGTGCACATTTTAAGTAGCCCAGTGTTAGAGATGACGATACATACTGTGAGTATTATTGCTCTCTGCCTGCCCTAATTCTAGCTTTAAGCATTTGCTGCTGCTCCCTGTTGGGAGATGAGATAAAAGCTGCACATGCTCTGTCCCACTATGGCTGTTGTTGAATTCGAAGCACAGGGCAGATAAGCATTATTTCAAGTTTAATAAAATTGACCTTTTTCACCTGCATGTTGGTATATACACCAAGTTCCTTGTGTTGTCCTTCTCTTGACCCCAAAATTAACTAGCCTACGATTTGTCTGATATTCTTTCATTTTACCTTCTTTTCTATTCAGAGCATGCGCCTGAAGTTGATAGCGAACAACACGACAGTGGAGCGGAGGTTCAGCTCATGGATTGGTGGTTCCATTTTGGCTTCTTTGGTTAGTAAACCTGTGTTACTATGTTGCTATGCTAAGCAGCACTGTCCCCCAAAAATCTAATTCCACCTAAGCGTGCATTGCAGATTTTGTGCTACCATAGCAGTCATAATCTTGTCTATCCTCGTGGTAAGGTGTCTATCCTCTATTTAAAAAACAGGACACCATGAGCATTTCCATTCAAAAAATAACTTGCCACGTTCTCCAGTTTTTAATGGCAAGGTGCATGCTTAAGATATCTAGAAATGACATGTATATAGTACACCATGACAGCAGCAAACCTGTTTCTGCATCAAATTCCTGAACTGAATTCTACAAGTTGCTGAGTACTGAAATGGTTTGTGGGGATTAATTTAGCAGTATGGGAAAGGGAGATGAAAATCAGCTTTCGGTACTGCAACTTCCTGTCTTCAGTGTAATGGCTAGCAATGTAAAACTCAAATGCAAAGAGAGTTAGGCAGGTCAAGTCCTCTTACCTCATTTAATGTAAGGACTTGTTTGGTTTTTACTCCTAGGAAAAGCTGATCATGTTTCACTTAACTTCCATTTGTTTTCTGATTTGTTTTTTCATTGTGTGTTGTTGGTTTGGCTTTTTTTTTTTGTAGGGTACTTTTCAACAGATGTGGATTTCTAAACAAGAATATGAAGAAGGAGGGAAACAGTGTGTAGAAAGAAAATGTCCTTAAACCTCTTACTGTGAAAACTGCTGCCTGCTCAGTGCTCCTCCTGTTTTATAGCTTTAGCATACTCAGGAATGGGATGGACTCTTTTTTGTAGAAAGTTTATATTGGATTTTTTGCATAATTCAAGTTCCATTTTAACAAACCTTAGAAATTTTGAGAGCTCTAATTGGTACTACCATAGAAAAAGGATGTTTACATCCCTTGTAAAGCAATAATTCATGTAACAAGCATTTTATAATTTTGTATAAATGTCTATTTTTCTCTAGTGTTTTTTCCTGGGAACAGCTTTACAGTTTAGCAGATAGATAGAGGCATAACCTTGCAAATGCCCATGCAAATTTATTAAAAAATTCTTGTCTACTTTCATATATTAGTCTTCCTTGCTGGTACTTTGGCCTTAAATTCCTCTTAATTTTCTCTTTAAAAATAAAATTTTGTCCTTTATATTTGAGCAACTTTGTGAGTACTTGGAGAGTAAATTACTCTTCTGTTTTAAAAATGGATGGAAAGCTTGTATTTAGTAATCTACTATAGGTGACTCAGTTCAGTGTAAACTTTTACTCTTTTAATGAAAGTGTTACATTCCATGTAGCGAATGTTATACTAAGCACTGGTTTGCTAATTTTCTATTATGAAGCAATTTTGTTTCAGTCAACAATCAGTGCTTTCCACCTGCTTTCTAAGAATGTATGTAATGCCTTTGTGATGTAGGTGAGAAGCAAAACTTGTTTGAGCCAGAGAAGTTAAGGTTAAGAATTGTCTCTCCAGGATAAGGAACAGAGTTATAGAAGCCCTCAGGATGCATGGCCTGACATTTTACAGGCCAGAGGGACAGTAGCTACTTGTTTATTGCTGGTTTGGCTCCCTCAGCTGACTCGCAGCAGGGTCAGCAAGTGCCTGCATTTTGTATGGGGAGCACGCACTCAGGGTCAGAGGAAGTAGGATGATTGATTTTTTTTTTTTTTTTTTTTTTTCAGTAGGAACTGGCTGTCAGGATGCAGCTCTGTGTTGCTCTTGAGCTTACTTTAATTTCCAACTGTGTGATGTTCTGTGTTGGGACACAATGAAGTTTTGCTCCTTATCTTAAAAGCTGTGGAAAACCAAATAACTGATTAAAAAATCAGTACTGCTACATTTTTCACATCCTAAAAGACCTTGTGGGTAAATAATGATGAGGCCTCCAGTTGAAAAGTTTCAAATTACCTCCAAACAATAAAGTGATAATTTATCAAAACAGCCTGCTTTTGTCCTATCGTGATAACCATTAGTTTCCTCTTGAGACAAAGTTGCTTGCTCTAGATCTTCAAAGCTACTGACAAACCACATTTCTCTCTCAGAATGAGGCAAACTTTAGTCAGCTACAATAGGTGATACAAGTCGCCAGCTGCTGTTGTCGTACTGGAAGAAAAAGACTGAGTCTAGTTTGCATTCAAGTGGAGTGTGGCATGTCAACTGAACTTGTATCTTGGCACGCTGCAGTGAGTAATGCTGTATAAAGTTACTGTGCCATCAGTAAAGTACTAAGGCTGACTGGACAGCTTGTAACTATAAGTGAAGGTATAAAGTAGGCTTTTTTGGTTTCTCTGCATGAATTGACTATGCATTTTAAGCTTTCCTTTTGTGCCACGTGCTTAGGTTTCATTATGTCTAATCCACTTTTATCTTCTTTTTATCTTAAAAGAATTACTGTATGATGGTAGTAGCTGAATGTTCTAGCACCATACAGAGAGCAAAACACTTTCTGGGGTTTTCTCACCACTGTAAAGAGTTTCTGTTTAAGTGGGTATTTTGTGTGATGCAGAGGAGTAACTGAAGGTCAAGATGATGGAGATACATGTATCTATCTCCTGCAGTTTTGGTTCCCTTGGAGTTTCCAGTGCTTTATCAGATTATATTGCATAGCACATTTACTTTCTGAAAGACTAGTATTTGTGACTTTTATTCTAAGTTTCTACACAACCTCATCTGAAGGTTAAAAGCTTTCATTAAGGAGGTGTTTACCATCAACTGAGACCAACAGCAATACCTTTCTACTTCAGTTGCATAGAAGACTATTGCCAGTCTTCCTTCAAACATTTTGCACGCTGCAAAAAAGCATTGCACAATACTTGAATTTGTCATGGGTATCTGGAAATCTAGCTATAAAGACTACGTTGTTAAAAGTTCACATGCTAAACACTTCATACTTTCTAATAAGCCAGACTTAAAGCAGGGAAAGACTTCCTTTTTGCAGATCGAAAAGCATGTCTTCCCATGTTGTTTTTTTTTTTTTTTTTTGAGAAAGCATATGTAACTTAGGTGACATACCAGTAACTCAGCTGATCAGGGAACAAAGGCTAGTATGTGAGCTTCAGAGGCTCTCATGTTTCTGTCTGGTCTTAATGCATATTTGCTAAACTAAACCATGTAAATATTATCCCTATGCTTTACACTTTCATCTGGTAGTCAGTTACTGCTTTTCACTATAAATGACGGATGTCTCAGTCTTGTAATAGCTGGTTAATACATCATTTTTTCAAATGTTTCTAGAAACCACTGTTAGGATTAATTTGAGTTATGCACCAAAGCTGCTTTGTAATTCCAGATCACAAGCTTAATTTAGGTCAAACATGGTATTAAAAAAAAAAAAAAAAAAAGATGGAGACTCTCAGGAATGCTCAGTCAAGTTACTCGCTGGTTTCAGAACTTGTTTCATCTTTCAGTCACAAAGATACTTGACCAATTGCTTGCAGCGCTCTTCCAGCATGTTACTGGCTCTGAGATTTTACAGCAAGGTGAGGGAATTTCCTTTCCAAGACCTTCTGCCTTGTCCTCTCTAGGTTTTGCCTTCTTGCCCTTCTACGTAATGATTTTTCAAGTCTTAGCCTGAAATGAAAAAGTCAGTGCATTTAATTTCTGGATAGCTTGTAACAACCTTAATGAGCTCACCCACTAGTCAAATAGTCTCCCAGTGATCAACTTCAGTATTAATTTGCTTGATAAGCAAAAATGCCCGAAAAGCAAATTATTTTTTTCTTCTGCTTTTGAATTCCACAGAAATTCAGCCTCTGGGAGGATCTTGGGTAGTCTGCATGTAAAGTTACTTTTACAGTGCAACTTCACAGATAACTAAGTCTCTTAACTAAGATGGGAACAGCAAAAAGGAACAGCGCAAGCTGTAACTTTAAAAAGCCTTGTTTTCAGTCTCCTAGCTGTAAAAGCAACAAGATCACTACTATTTTTACCTTGCAAAGTGGAGTAAGGAGGACTGAGGAACAAATCAGGAAATAACTTTCAATGTCAAAAAAGTCTTTTTACCTGATGAAGTGATTCACATGAGGTAAGTAATAGAATTTCCTCTTTTTGTATTTTTTGTTCAAGTACCATGGTATTGGCCATTCCTTGTAAGCATACCTGTTAAAGGTAGAAAAAAGTGATTACAGAATGTATACTTTTTGTCTTCATTCTTGGATTGTACCAGTTGCACTTGGTTACAGTAGGACGATAGAGTGGTCTACGCTGGTAGATTGCAGAATTTGTATGTGAGTATTTACTTTCAGCTCTATTGCTGGCTTGGTTTGTCACTACACTTCATACAGCGCTCAGTGTCTTTCTGTAGAAAGCGGTCTTATGTTAAAAACTGTAGATGTTTGAAAAGAGGGCCCAGTATAGATAATGATTCTTTACATTTATATTTTAAAGTTACTCCTTCGTAAGAAAACTTTCAAAAGCTGATGTGAATAAACTGCGTGAAGACAGTTTTGTTTCTACTACAATTTTCTTTTAAATGCCAGTGTTGGAGTGTCATGTCATGGAAGTCAAGATGGTTCAACTTGAACACTACTCCCTAGTTCACTCATGTATTACAGAATAGCTATAGTAACAGAGATCCTTCTAGTACAGAAATCATATTAGTTACATGGAACTAATTTTGTTATAATTACTGGTCAAGTTTGCCACTGAATTATTTAGCAACAACTACAACCACATTAAAAAAAAAAAACCAACAAAAACCAAAACTCAAGAAGAACCTGAATGCTGACAAGAAAACATGTTTCTATACAGTATATGCATCCTTTCTTGATTAGATAAGGATTTTCTGGTAAACAGAGACGCCACAAGAAAAATTCACACATATGAAACAAAAATTTTCTTTTTCGTACCAGTAGGTGCGCCCTAAGAAGTCATGTCTCCACTCGCCAGGTACTGGTTTTTCATGGCCCGTTTGCAAAAGCCTCAAAGCAATTTCTCTTTCTTTGACAACCAAGTCTATATTTTTCATAGATTTTTCTACCTGGAAACAGGAAATAAGTTTCAGTATGGGCCAAAAAACCAATGCTGACAATGTAAAAGATCTCAAATGAATATCTGAGACAAAATTTAAAGGCAAAGTAAAGGTAAAATACACCAGGAGTTCCATCACAAGTAATCTCACAGTGTGGACTGAGTGAAACAGCTGAATTAGCCCTGTGTACTAGAACAGTAAAGAATGGGTGCTTAAAAAACCTAAATTACAAGTAGAACAGAGATGAAAGAAATGACGGTCTGAATATCCATTAAAGACTACCTGGCTAATACGTAGAGCCAGATCTAATGCTGATGCTAGAATCATAGAAAGCTCGGAGGCAAGGTCGGGAAAGACATAGGAGAAGCAAAGATATGCTGTATGTATTTCTGTCAGATTGTTTGTAATGGCTGTTTGTTATTCTAGTTTTCACTTTGGAGTCTGGTCACAGCCTCAGTAATGCCTGTTGGCTGATTAGGAAGCTGCCTTGACCAAAGTATGACACTTGAGGTGAAGGTTTTTAGTCAGGTCTGTCTCATAATATTACCGTAAAGCACATTAAGTATGGCAACATGTTAAACACCCTGGGAAGATGCTAGAGCTAGTTTTAATAAGCAGATTGCTGTATTTTGTCTCGGTGCAATCACAGTATTTAACTAGTGCTTGACTTCTACTTTTCTTGTGTTTCAGCCAAAACCAAACAGGCAATTAGGATGATTTGACTTTTGAAGTGTTGGGACCACCTACTTCAGTTGCCTCCCAAAACAAGTTTGACTGTGATTCATAGTTACTGGATATGGATGTGTAGGTGGGACTAAGCAGAAAATACAGTTCAGTACAGTGGTGAAATGACAACAGTAGGAGACCAAACAAATCAATGTCTGACACAAAATACAGAGATCATAACGCAGTTGCAGATGCACACAATGGCAAATAACAGTTAAATGATTAGTGATACAAAGAAACTCAGAGGACCCATGTGAAGATGAGACTTTTCCCAGATTAATTTGGATAAATAGAGGGGTATCTGAGAATCTCTCTCATGTCAAACAGCCAGATTACTTAACTGGCCAGTGAAGGTGTAGATTTCCATCTGTGAGACATAAGCATAGAGATGGCAGTTGATTTACAAGTAAATGAAGTGTTCAATGGTAAAGATACTGAGGAAAGAATGTCAAATTAGTGGCAGAATCACAATAAGGCAAAAGAAGTAGGGGATGACAAAAGTGAGGACAGCAAAGAACCAAAGGACACCAGTTTGGAGAAGAAACTGTTGGGCAAGAAGTTGGCAACAGTTAAGAGAGAGAAGGAAAAAAAAAAAAAGTTTCTGAAGGGTTTACCAGGAAGTTTCTAGAAACATTCTAGTGC